GCTGCCCAGGATTAGCCTCAGCTCTAGAGACCCCCCGTGAAATTGTGGCAGGCCAGCCTCTCACCCAGCCCAGCCTTTGCCAAACACAGCTGCAGGGGTAGTCCCTGAGCAGCTGGGTTTCATCTTTAAGCATAAATCTGAGAAGCAAATACATTTTAGGACACGTTCCAAGCCCAACACAGTTCAGGTGTGACTCGATAAGAAGGTCAGGCCCACACCTGCCCTCCCCCAGCTGAGACAAGAAATCCAGACTCCCAGCAGGGTATTTGAGTCCTGCACCCAAGCGCGGCCAGCCCCCTCAGCACATGGAAAAGAGCAAACGGCCCAGCACCAAACGACCAGAGGCGACAAAAGGGACACTGGGGGAGAGCAGGGTTTGACTGAAAGCGGAATGCTTTGGCTGAGGAAGAAGAGAGAGGGTACAGAAGTGCTGACCTCCCCTCTCTAGACTCTCAGAACAGCCCTGTGCAATTTTCTGCAATACCCTTGCATGACAGACAAGGTACTGGCATGCAGGCATGCCATCTCCTCCATGTAGACAGCCTCAGGACATATCACACTCCCAAGACTTAGGAGACCTGGGCATAAACCACCTGGCATGATGCTGTGCTCGGCCACTGCTCTGGTTCACCCATCTCACTTCACCATACAGAGGCAGCTCTTGAGAAACAAAATCCAGATTCAGCACTGTGAACAGCTTTTGCATCCTCAGGCGAGTGGTTCGTGTGGTTAAACATCCTCCCTGCTAAAACTAGTGCCAAGCCTAGACCAAATATGCCTAACTTCAAGCTTACACCTGCCGGACCTCTGTCTTAGTTTTCTTGATTAAGAAGCACTTTGCCATTAGAAATATTCATTGGGTTCTTGGGAAAAACCCAACGCCTGGTTTCACTTTATTATGTTTGAGGTGAGGGCAGTTGCTTTACAGCGAGGCTTAGGAAAGGCTGGTGCTTGGTACAAGTTTTGCTACCAAGATAGAACAACACATCCTGCTGACACACACCATGGGAGCTTGGATGGTATCCAGACATACAAACAAACTGAGCAGTCGGCCACTCTGGGAAAAACAAAACCAAGCAAACACAAGAAATAAGTTCCTTCCAGTTATTTGAAATAAAGCCACACTTAGCTGCCCCTTCTCCTTTCATCCTTCCCAAAACTTTGGTCTTCGTAAAAGTCTTCTGAACTTCTTTCATCTTCCAGATCACGCAGAGCCAAATACCTTCATATTTACCAAGAAACAAGATTGCAGGAGCAACCTTGATCACATAAGACAGAAATACTTAGGCTGGTATCTTTCAGTGATCCGCTTTGGTTCTAACTTGTCTCAACAGCAGGAGCCATGAGGTAGGAGTGGTGCTGCGAAACAAACCTTTTCAAAAGTTTCTGTGCAAGACTTGAATAATAAACACTAGTTCAAGGCATCTGCTACAACAGAGCTAGTGGTCTTAAACCTCAAAAGACTCACAGTTCAGGTGTCAGTTAGTAGCAACACGAAGCAGAGACAGTGAGTCAACAGAAGCACTGTCAGATGTCCTTTACAAAGCCTTCTCACAGCTACGAGTGCGACAGAAGTGAGGCAGGTTCCAGCACCCTGGGTGACACGGAGCTGACCTCCTCCTGCCTCAGGAAGGCGGCGGACCCCAGCCCGGACCGTCCACCGACAGCCGAAGAGCGAAAGCTCTGGGGAGACGCCACTCCCAGGATGACATCTGGAGGGAAGGTCAGCCTACTCCCACCAACATCAGCACGCCTGCAGTAACCAAGGCAGCAAGGCCCTAACAGACAGGTTTGCCAGCAGGAGGCCATGAGGTTACTGGTACTGCTAAGAGGACTGTGCCGAGGAACATCCCACAAGAGGGAATGCTGGCAGAACCTCTTGCTCTCCCGCCACAGACTGAGATTTTTCAGGGAACACACAGGTTACCCTTGTTTTGGTCCTGCACACCTGCATTGTAGAAACTGAGGCCCTGAGCTGCTGATGTCCTTAACATACGGAGTGGCTATCCATCCCTGCCAAATCCAGCGGTGTTCTCCCCGCAGCCCCCACCCCCAAAGGCAGCAGGGCAGAAGGCCTTCGTGTCAGCAGTGGAACTGAGCGCTGCTTCAGGAGTCCGTATGTAGAGCCACTGCTCCTGCTTTTTCACCTGGGACACAAATGCCTTGGGGACAGCAAAGGAACTGCTGAACAGTAACACAGGGTGAAGGAACACGTTAGTCACAACAAGACAATGGGGGAAGGTGAAGCATGTTTGGACACCAGATACACAGACACACAAAAACCACAAGAAGGCTGAGAGGAAAGTATGTGCAGAGAGAACTGAACGTGAGTGTAGGGTTAGAAGTGTGAGGGAACATCAAATCAAGGAAGCAAACGTACCATTAGTCGGATGCTTTGCAAACGACACAGAAAATCGTTTTACGGCTGGCATAGACAAGAGCTCTGAGGAAATAAAAACAGATCATCGCAGTTAACAGCCTGCTTCTAAGGATTCCCCAACCTTCACATGCTTGCAACTACCCACCAGCTTCACCTTCCTCTTGACCCCCATCACACACGCTCCCACTGGCACCGCTGCAGCAGCCTGGGCTACCCCTGCCTGCGGGTCTGACGGAACCTCTTGGCGTCCTCGCACCCTGCCAGCTCCCACTTCCCTCGCACTGCCCTGCCAGGGTCTCTCCTGACACTGCAAGGACCACACTCTCTCACTGACAGTCGGCATCTCATTCCTTCCCACCACACCTCCAGCCATCCTGAGAACAACCCGGGCTCAGCCCTGTGTGAAATGCAGCCATGCTCACAACCACGGGAGCGCCCGGCCACGCAAGCAGCGGCACCATGGGAGGAGAATTCTAAGGATTCACCTCTGCCCAGGGTGACCATTCTGCAGAGGAACTGAAGAGCTCTGGCACAGTTAAGTGCAGCTCGGAACATCCTCTTGATGCAAGCTAAACAGCGCTATTTATGCCTTTAAAGGTAAATCCACTAACTAACTTGGGTAGGAAGAGAAGACCCATGAAGACACGCCTCTACAGTTCTGTTGCTCAAAGCATGTCAGTACAGAAGAGGTTTGGGGATAACCCTGTCAGAGTGGTCCTGAGGCATCTCCTGGCCGTGCCCAAGGCCTGGCCAAGCTTTCCCACAGAAATCACACATTGAAAGACAGTGCAAGGACAGATTCTGTGTGTCTGATGGGGTGCAAACGGATGAGCTTTAAAGGACATGAATTAGTCTCCATATGCACCAAAATAAAAGGCTGAAAAATTCAGTTTATTTCCACTGTGGAAATTCCTTAGCTATTATGGGAAAGAATGGCCTAGATGAAAACATCGGTACGTAGGATTTGATGTGAGACCCCAGCCAATCACACTTTTTGCTGCTATTTAGGAAGTTTTAGGAAATACTGGAAAATGTTTTTATTTCTCTTTCACATTTCATGCATGCTTTCTACCTAGTCAATAGGATCTGCACATCTATCCCTCTGCACCAAGGTTAGGAGATACACGTATCAGTTTATGCTCCACACTCCCATTGTGCTTCTCTAGCTACATCCACTAACTTGCCCAAAGAATATATTTAACTCTCCAACTTGCTGCAATACCCTTTGCCAATGCAACTGTTCTAAAAATTGTTTTCCCTTCTTTAAACTCAACAAATAGAGCATGACAACCTCCCCTGCACATGCAACCCCTTGGAAATGCCCAAGTCCCAGAGCTGCTAACCACCTCCCCTCACCCCACGCCTCCCCCTTGCCTTCACAGCCCATCAGTTTAAACGGTGCAACACAGCTCACTGGATCCCGGCTTCAGACACACCAGCTTCCAACCACAACCACCAGTGGACCCTCCCTCAACCTGAGGCTGGGAAACGACTTTCCACTGAAGCATTCCTTAGCCCTCTTCCAGCCCCAAGCAAAATAACTTTCGGAAATAAGGGCCATTTTGACTTCCCTTGAGTGAGTCTTTGATGAAGTGCCATAAGCCATGCACCATGCCTTGCAGCACCACAGCCACGAGAAAGAGCTCATGCAAGCACATGCTCCAGAATCTGGAGGGTTTTAAACGTTATTAGCCTGATGACTGTAAAAAAGGCCTTGAAACAAATGTACTCCAAGAGCCTGCTGTAGCTGCTGTGCCACTCACCACGTTCAGCTCTAGTGGTGGTTGGTATAAATGCCACTGTTCAGCATTTCACTGGTGCTCATTTAAGCAGGAACATGCAGATCAAGGGCTTATTTCACTTTCCAAACCACCTTGCCCAGAAGCTGAACCACCTTCTGCCTCCTGCTTGTTTTTCCAAGCCTCCCGCTTCGTCCTCACAATTGCTCTTATTGCAGCAAGGTGCTGGTAGCACAGGGCGCCGTATGGCACCAAGAAACATCACAAAAGATATGTAACATCAAGATGAGTCATTCTGGGCTCTGTTAGTCTGCCTTTTAAGTAGCTGAGAGTACAAGTGTGTCTCAACACACATATCTTGTCACCAAATTCAGGTTACCGCAGCAGGACTCTGCTCCAGACCTCGGACGTGGGCAGCCAGCTGCAGGCGCACACCCACTGCACAGCCTGCACAGCCAGGACTGAACAGCATCTGTTCTGTTCCCAGCCAGGCACAGAGGAAGCAGTCTTTGATGTTTTTCCCCGAGAATTAGTGCTGCCTCGGATTCACACTGCTCGCAGTTACAGAAGAAAAGCAGGCAGCGCCCTTGCTGGCCCTTCCAGCGGCTCCCTGGGTGCTCGCAGCCCGGTCTCGTGCCAAACACCATGAGCTTATGCTGGGACCTACGAGTAGCCAGCCCTTGGTGCCTTGGCCAGCTCAGGCTGGTAAGGCAGGGTTTAAAATCCTCCCAGTTCACCTTCCCTCTCTCTACCACTCACAGCCTGTGGTGTGCCAGGGAGCTCCCTGAAGAGGGGAGAAGCAGCACAGCTTTCTCTTGTGCAGTGAAAGGCACCACAGAAAGCCAATATACATAATAGTCTTGATACAGTGGCATTGGTGAGGCTCCAGTAGGTCTAAGAACCGGGTAGAATCTTTCCACCCTGACTGGCTAGGCTGTTTTCCTTGCCTCAAAACTACAAAAAATCCAAACGAATTGGCCTCCTGCTTTCCCCAAAGTCCCCAAATTACTGCCTTAATCATCTTCCCTCCTTGTAATCCACCAGTGCTAGTGTTTGTTATGAACCCAATGAGAAAGGCACTCAGACTCTGTAAAGTACAGATTAAAGTACCATTTGTTAAAACTAACACAAAGAAGAAAAAGAGAGGACAGATAACCTTCCACCCATTCAGGTGCTGGAAAGCCCAAGCTGTGTCACAGCAGATGGACTTCCAGCCAGGGCACAGCACTCCCTGCAGATCTGCCCATGGAAGAGTTTGTTCGATGCTGCTCAACTCATAGTACGTTACTCAGCACTCACCGAGTCCAGGTGCCCTTCTTACCACGATCACAACAGACACTTGCACTTGTGCATTACGCCCCTCCAACTCCTTCAGGATATCTCAGGGCTTTCCCCGTGCTCCAACTTCCTTGACAGGAGCAACACACTCTGTTTCTCGGCACATAACCCGTATTAACTGCAAATCCATCTGGGCGACATTTATGCTAATGACCCAAATACATCTTATCAGATCACCTTGCTGAACCTTTAAGGCAGTTTCTGCAGAGCTGTGCAATAACTAGACTTTCCAGTCCTTTTGCAGTATTTCATCCGAGTATCCCACTCACCTTAAGTATTTCAGCCATATTACGCTTATTTTCTCACAGCTACCTTGGACTCTTCTGTGTGCCCAGCCTTATTCTAGGATCCATCTTACCCACCCCCAAGCATATCATCCTGCCTTCAGCACAGCCCCATCTGTGGTAGAGTGAGGATTACTGCCTCCACAAAAGATTCAGCTATTACCAGTAAGATCATGAAGGTAAGCACGATGACATAATGTGCTGGATTTCCACACCAGGACAAATCTATATAGTATCAAGACCAACAAATCCTCCTCCAGAAGAGCCAGGAGTATTAAAATATCAGACCCCAGCAATACTGCAGGAAAGTCCTTGCACAACGTCAGCTCCTGCCTCGGCCTAGCAAGGATCACAATTTCCTGGGACGTGATAAAACGCATTACTGTAGATGTGGCAAACACACCCATCCAACTGCCGCTCTTCTTAGCAGTCCAAGTCTCTGCCTCAGTAGCATCCTCAGACACCAAAGTCCACAAATTAAGCACCTGCTGCACAGGGAACACACATACCGTCTTTGTATGTCAGGCTGCTGGCAAACTTTTTGCCATGGCTGCGAGCGTAGTCCTGGAGGTTGGGGGCACTGGAGGAGCCTCCCAGCACAGTGGTGCTAAACAGGCCGGTGCATTGTGACCCTGGAAAGGCATGGAAGGTGTTAGTATCGTATATCCACGGCATGCAGCTACAGACAAGCAGGTTAGTCAAAGAATGAGCAATGAACTGGCCACTTCGCAGGCAACCTCAGGGGAAAAAGTGGTGCTTGGGACCATCAGGAGGCAGAATTCCCCATTCTAAATTCAGTACTGCTGAACGCACAACACGCAGCCCAAAACTCAGCACCAGAAAAGTTCCTAACTCTGACCAGGGGTTTATTTCCATTTGGTGTTCTTGCCCTGACCTAGGAGAAACACCTTGACACCCTCCAGTCAGCAAATCTACAGACTAAACAGACTAATTTACTGGCAGATAAAAATAGAACAGAAGATTTCTACGAAATCTACTCATGTCAGAAAGGCCAGGCTGCCAAGTCACCAGTGTTCCTGTCACGGGGCTCCGTATCTCTGCTGTTCTGCCCCTTCTCTTTAGAAAGCTCCCTTTTCTGTAGGACATGGAGGAAAGGAAAGGACTGCCCGATCTGCTGACCAGCAAACGTGGATTAATCACTCTGTAAGGCAGTAAGGAAAGCAATGTGACCAGAGAGCCGCCTTGCACAAGCTGCTGCCCAGGTGATATTTCACATTGTTGTGTCTTGCTAGTCCAGAGCAGGTCCAATTATTCCATGAACTACCTCTGCAAAGCGCCAGACGCTCACACAGCGCGGGCCTCTGCCTGGTCAGGAATATGGCACGCAAGACGGTCTCGCGCACAGAAGGGCAATCTTGTACAGGTGGCTTTGGCAGCTGCTGGTGTCTGCTTCCCCAAGGCACAGTGTTCTGCAGAGTGACTTGACTTTATGGGATATCTAGGGAACATCAGGCATTTGAACCCCTTCTTTTTTTAACTGAGGAAAACAATTGTGAGACAAAACCTTATTATAGGCCAGACAAAGCCACCGCCTGGCTATAAATTCTCTGCTAAACCGTCCTGATGCTGCATTCTGTACCAGGAGCACCCACTGCTAAAACCAGCTTTATCCCCACATACAAAAGGCTTCCAGAAGCAAGCAGGTTGATCTTGTTCCACCTTGTCTGCCAAGGTAAAAAATCTGACATACTGCCTACTAGTATTTAACCGGAACAGTGCAACCGTTACTACTGTTAAAAAGATCCTGCCTATGTTGCAAGCAGCTCTTGATTCTAAAGTCCACCATCATAGCATTATTTAGGTCAGAAGGAATCTCTGGAGGCTTCTTTCCCAAAGCCCAGCAGGGCCAACTTGGATCAGCTGCTCAGGTTTGTCTAGTCAAGATCTGAATATCTCCAAGAAAGAAGGTTTCACAACCTCTCTGGGTCCCTGGTCCAACATCTGGCACAATCACAGTGACAATTTTGATCTTCCCATGCTACAACACGTTTCCATTGGTTATCACTGTCCCCACGTGCCTCGGAGGACAGCCTGTCTCTGTCTTCTCTGTAACCTCCCGCTCAGGGGGCTGAACAGCATCAAGGTCTCCGTTCCCCACAGCTTCTGATCCGAGCAAGCCGTGCTCTCTCGGCTTCTCCTCCACGGTTGTGTGTTCCAGCCCCATCCACCTCCACCGCCCCTTAACGAGCTTACACCCCCTGCACCCGCACTCTTCTCGCACGAGGGAGGCTGGGACAGAACCAGTCTCACACGAGGTGAACAGAGCAGAAGAACCAGATCCCTCAGCCTGCTAACCCCGCAAAGCCCACCGTTGGCCTGCTTTGGTGTACGGACATGCTGCTGCCTCACGTCCGCTTGTTGCTCTTCTTTTTCTTTCCCTGCAAAGCACATTTTTTTTGCCAGAGCTTCTTTGGAGAAAACTCACAGGTCCTGAGTTTTGAGCTATTCACATGTAAGCTCAGTCTAAGCTGTCAAAACAGTGAAAAGGGACTGAAAGCATTCTCAGATGCACTGAACTTCAGCTATTCCACCACCGTGACACTGCTTGGAGCCTTCCACAGGCCAGGCTAGCACACATGCATCCTTGGACAAACAGGCAAAGAGCTCTAGCCTGCAGAGTCACTGATACACAAGCCTTAGAAAATTTCCTCCTAATGCCTTAACTTGAAGCTCAGTGCTGACTCAACAGGAAATGGAATCTGTCAGAGTACAAACAAAATTTTGTCTAGCAGCAGTCGGGATGATGATCCTAATTGTCCTTCCATGGCTTAAAACCAAACAAGCCAAAAACAACAAAAAAGGAACCACAACACAACAGACTAATTTACTGGCAGATAAAAATAGAACAGAAGATTTCTACGACTTTCTATCTTGAGCAACCTCGTGCCACTAATCACTATGCTGAGGATAACCCAGTGTTTCTGCTATCCTACAGCAGACAGACGCAATGTGTAACACTGTTAAGTCAGAATGAATTTACAAAGATTACTCTATGGACGACAGCAACTGTCCTCAGGGAACTCCGGGAGACCCCTGTAGCCACAGTAAACACACACACACAAGCACACGAGCGTTCTAAAGAACACGATGGTCTATTTGCCCTTTGGATTTAAGATGCTGCTACTTTCCTAGAAATTACTGTATGTGCTGCATCTTTTCTGTGTATTTAATTTTCAGGTGTACTTTCAATGTTTCAGATGTTTAAGAAATGGACATCCCTTACTTTCCTACGGGAGTCTCAGTACACAGCCTCATGCTCACTGCCCATACAGGGCGTCTATTGCTCAAACACCAAGGAGTGATTTTACCCCATTCTGAAGTGTTCTTGCAAGGAAAGAAAGGCACTGAGGCTTCCCCAGGCTTCTCAAGCTAGACGCATAGACACTATTACAGACAATCAACAACAATGCACTTGCTCCTGCCCAGCAAAAGATGGCATACTCCAAAGCACAGCTCTGGGTAGAAAAAGCAAGCTGCAGCCTGCCCCGTTTCCAAACAGACTTTTCAAGGCGTTTCTTAAATTATAGAACACAATTCTGGCAGGTATGGCAGCAGGATTACCATAGGAGTCCTGTCCTGCTCCACTCCTGCGTGCCAAGCATAGGAGGTTATACCTGAACAGACCTTCTCCCAGAGGTAACAGTAGCCAGCCACTGACAAGGTCAGGCAAAGGGAGTCAGGCTCAACTTCAGAAAAGCTCAGAAGCAGCAGGTAGTATCTGAATGAACCCTCTCATAGCACAGCTGCTGAGACAAGCATTAAAGCCAAAACTCAAGCTCCCATGAGTTCTGTATTATTTCTCACAGAGAAAGCACATTTCATACCCTAAAGGGGGAGGAAATCAGATTTTTACAAAACAAGCAGGAAAGGAATCGTGGAGACTCCTTGAAGAGCTTGATTTTTACAGGTAAAGAGGAATCATTCTTCTTAACAGTTGTCAGGTTAAAAGAAATTCACAGACATCCCAATAACCAGGGACTGTGCGAGCTGGTGTTGCACCACAGGACTCTCCTGCGCATCTGTGCCAGCAGCTGCAAGACTCTGTAGGGAAGGACGGCTTGACTCGTATTCAGCTAGAAGTGTCCTGTCACAGATCAGGTGGATCAATTCCTACTCGAACTTTTGTATCTGCAGAGCTTCACAGTTGGGAAAGTGACCAGCACAGGCTTCCCAGCAAGGCAAGAACCTGAAATTAAACCTGCTGGCATCACATTTCTAATTCTCTTGTCAAGGAGAAGTGCTGCTATACGAGGGTCCAGCAGAGTAGCTGTCTTCTCTATTGCCAAAACAGACATTCCTCAGAAACCTGGGAAAGGCTGTAGTAAATAGCTTGTAACATTTGCTTGCCAGACAACATGCCTTCTGGTGCTCCAACACCCAAACAGCAAAGATAGTTTGCACGCAGCGTTCGAGGTACTCAGTAATTCTCCAAGCAGATGCACTTCCACGACTGCGTGCCATCTCGGAATTCACAGAATAACCACAGGTTTCTTCAAGCCTAAGCCAGGCAGTCTATTACAACTTCACTCTGCAGAGTAGGGTTATAGCTTGGACTTGATGATCCGAAGGGTCTTTTCCAGCCTGAATATTTCTATGATTCTACAAACCTGGTTAATCCTGCAGGTGGTCTGAGAAAGGCAGAAGTAAGTAGATGCACCACATGAAACAGCACATTCAAGAAAACACCACAGGCAAGCCCACTGTGCCTTTATGAAAACTATGCGCATCAGCGTTCCTTCTTAGATTTTTCCAACTGGCTGGGAGCAGAGCTGGCAGGCTCCAGGGACACTGCTTAACCACTCTGAAGAGAATTCCCTCTACTTGGTAAGAATTAGCTTTCAAAGCAGCAGCTTATTCAAAAGTGACAAAGAAATGATCAGGCTTTTCAGAAATTTCTTGGCCGCTGGACGTCCACGTAACAGAGGAAAGAACTGATGAGTCAGAAATGCTGCAAGTCTACAGCCGTGCCATAATACAAAAGCAGTTTTAAAGAAAAAGAAAGTGGGCAAAACTTGGGCATTTCCACCTCCTGGTGCTTATTAGTCATCTGCAAGATCTAGGTTTAACTGCTATCTTTGAACCTCATGACAGCAAAGACAGCTTTCCAGTTTCCAAATAGATCTTGCTGTAACAAAAATATTTCAGGAAGAATTTCAACTATTAAGACAGGGAATTATACTCTCAAGCACAGGCACAGAAATACCAAGTGCTCCCAAATATTCTCTTCTGCTCGCTACCATGCAAAAAAATAGCTAATCTGGGATTCCAGCTCAATTAGAGAGCTGTAAAACACCATTGCAGATCACAGCCCTGTTCCATACAAGAGATCTTTATGAAGCAAAGGTAGAAATCTAACAGTCTTACATGAAGAGCATCTTTGCACGTAAACGACTCTTTCTGCAGAACAGAAAGCACACTAGCTCCCACATAAAATCATCTCTTCCTAGGAAGCTCAGAAATGGCAAAACCAGTGATAGCAACATGGCACCAGAAGGCCGACCTCCAAGCACACAGCTTGCTCTGTCGCTCCCATACTATAGAGGATGAAAAGGGCATCTTCTGTTGCGAGAAGCTGAAGAAGACCATACACAAAAGGAAATGCAGTAAGATAGTCTCTACAGCGGTCTGAACAACACTAAAAAGAAGACATAATACATAGAGAGAGACACACAAGGAACTTCAGCCAGATGTATATTTGGAGAAATGGACAGATGCCCACAAAAATACAGAGGTACAGGTGAGCAGACTGGTTACAGGTCAAGTACAGTACCTAAGCCACTTTGCTTCATCTCAGAAGACTGCCTGGAGTAAGTGCTGAAGAGGCGATAACCTCCTGATTTGGAAGAAGATTCAGATAGCACCTGCAAAAACAGACAACATAATCACTGTCATGCTCCAAGTTACCAGCCTTTATACATCAATTGAAGGTAAAGAAAAGTAGGTCTCTTCCTTAAACCCACAATTTTCAAGATGCATAAAGTTACTTATATGGTAAGATTGTGATGGTGCAGGCTCAATTTCAGTTTCAAGTTTGTGCTGGGTTCTGGAACAGTGGGGATTTCAAAAGTACGAAGGCACTCGTACACTGAGCTTGTCTCGCAAGACTCTTGCTGGGGCCACTGGGACACAGACTCCCTTCTTTAGCAGCAGGGAAGTATATCCCCTTTAACTCAGAACGTGCCTGGTATAAAGAGCCCACGAGTGCTGCACACAAAGATTAGATCAAGAGTGGCACAGACATGGAAGCCAGCTAACAAATACCTCAAGCCCTAACTCTGCTTTCACTGGCTCAGAAAACAGCAATAATGCCCGTGAAATTCCTCCAAAAGGAGGAGCAAATCTAGAGCACTCTGAAGGTGCCTGCTGACTCTGAAGCTAGTAACAGCCCTGAAGGAAAGAAGAACAAACAGTAAAATCACTCTTTGTTACTTTAGCAGAGCAGCGAATCAGACAGTTCTAAACCCTGACAGTTTAAACCCTCCATAATAAACCCACTGCTTAGCAGGGACCTCCAATTTGTGTGACAACTTAGATGGGCAACAGGAACAAGAGGTGTGGAGCTGAACTGTGAGAGGCAAAGGCTGGAGTCTGCAGGAAGGCAAAGACGTCACCATGGCTAGGTGATGAGCTTGCACACAATCTTGTAGCTGGTTACACTGATTGCTCTACAGAGCACGTAACCTAAATAATTCCTGCGTTTCTCAAGCTTTTCCTTACTTGCTCTTCCTCATTGATTCCTCTGACCTGTCCTCCCTGCATCCTTCCTCAGTGAGGAGGAGTTTGGGAGGCTTCTTCCAAAAAATCCCTCCAACTTCTGCAGATCCTTTCCCAGGATCAACTCAAATTCTGGCACGTTAAAAGGAACGTCGGGAAAACAAAACCAGGCAAAAGACTTTCAGTGGAACTACAAATGGCGCCCGTCGCATCGTTACCTCCATGGATCCCGTCTTCCGGTTCCTGATGAGAGGAGACCTCCGCTGAATGCTGACAGGCTCGGAAGGCTGCGGAGACTTTTGCTGCACGCGGTCTGGCTCCTCGACGCCCTTCTCCTTGGAGAGGTCCTCCAGGCTGCCTTGGTCTGCTTTCTTGTCCTCGTTCTGCAGCGAGGGCACACAGACAGCTGCAGGCGCTGGC